GTTTTGACCTTAGGCTTAGTTTTGACATCAGGTCAAGTTCACTACAACTTTTACTAATTGTCTTTTATAATATATGTGAATGTTGTTGTACAGTGCCATGAGATGACTTCTGTTCAGACTTGAAGCTATGTAAATAAACTGAATTTATTTTAATTTAATGTACCTGAGTCCATCTTATTAGTTATTTCACTCTACCTAAGTCTATTTCAGCAATTAACTGACAGTACAAAAAAGTTCAATCTGGTCCTCTGGACATTAAAAAAAAAAAAAAAAGGCAAAAAAAATGTAGATACGTTTCGTCTCTCATCCGAGAGACTTCCTCAGTCTGAGGTGCTGTATTCAGCTCAGTCTCTTAAATAGCACCTTCTAAGAGTGGATCAACCAGTTTGTTGCTGACAACCAAAACCAGCAGCTCACATGGTCAAGAAGGACCATCAGCCTAACAATGGATCATTAGCACACTGATGGCTGTTTACTATTCACAGGGGGTCATCAACAGGAATGCACATAAAGAGTGATGTGACATCAAAAGAGACCATTGTTTCATCAGTCTCCATGATGACATCCCTCACCTTATCCACAAAGTCCATGGTGTTCTGTATGTGGTGTTCTGAGCTGCCAACTAAAGGGATGAGTACAGAAGCCAGATATTTGGCAACATTGTAAGTGACAGAGTTAATCATGCTAACGATTGGTCTTAAAGGTACACCTTGTTTGTGGATTTTAGGTAAACCATACAGACTAGGTGTGGCCTCCCCTGGGTACAGTCTGTGGTACAGAAAACGGTCAATAGCCTTGTCCTGCTCCAAAATTTTCAGGCAATCTATCAATTTCTTCTTGTAACCACTTCCTGGATCTCTTTTCAGAGGTTCATAAGTGTTTAAGTCACTAAGGAGTGTCATAACTTTCTCATGATAGTCTTTCTGGTTCAAAATCACTGTGCACCTTCCTTTGTCTGCTGGGAGAATGATGATGTTTTTGTCCTTGCTAAGAGTGGTGAGTGCATCCCTTTCCTCTCTACTGATGTTGGAAGTTGATGGTTTGGCATTGCTGAGGCAGGATAAAACTTTGATTCTGAGCTGTTCTGCTTCACCCTCTTTCATTTTGTTGTTGCGGATGGCTGATTCTGTGAATCACATTGAACTTTTTTTGATTTTTCTACCTGGACTATTGAGCATGCATCAGGATAACTGACTGTACTTTAGTAAACTGGTAAATGGACAGTACTTTTTTCTCTCTCTGTACTACGTGAATTCAGATGTGTTTTTCCAGTGCTCCTTACCCGCAACCCCCCCCCCCCCCCCCCGCACGCTTCCATGCTTGCACTCTTTTCTCAGCTGGTGCAGCTGTTATCAAAACTGTGAACTCTCAAGCAGTACACATGAAGGTGGGAATAATCTTGGAGAAGCTGTGTGCTCATATTTAAGGAATCAATTCGGCTGTTTGGAGTTTCCATCAGAGGAATATACCAGTGAGACTTTAAAAGGCAAAAACAGCAATTCACAAGTTCTGCCTGATTCAAAACTGTGCCCTTGATGACAGACTTATCTCAACTCCTCCTGGCCTGTTTAGAAAAAACAAAGATGCTTTGTCTGTCTCCTCACCCCTCCCTTTCCCAAGGCCGTGAACATGTGACAGAACCTCAACTGAGCTGATGATAAACAACACCTCTTATCTGGACAATGGCTGGGGGGGGGGGGGGGGTCTGGACTATGCTACGACTTTCCCATAAAAATTCAATGTCTTCACTGGGCTTATAAGTACTTGTATAACGTCTATTTATGTTGCTTTGCTAAGTTTTTTTGATACCTCAAATCATGCCACGTTGGGATTTGTTTGGGTCCGGTCTGTTCTCTACTCTGTTGGCCATTTTAGTTAGCTTTTGCTGCTATTTGTATCTGTATTTCTATTTTATGTTTTCCTGTCCGCTGTGCATGTTTGTTTTCTTTTGTACAGCACTTTGGTTGGCCTTGTTGCTGTTTTAAGTGCTCTATAAATAAATTGGTATGGTATGGTATGCCCTGTCTAGGACACGGTGTGAGAGATTTTTTTTTAATACCGTCTCTCATCATGTTTTTTTCCCTTTTCTCTTCTAAGCAAAATATTATTCTGAATAAGAATAAAAGGGCAGTGCTTTTCTATAGTAGCAGCTTCGTGCACTATGCCCATCTTTCGGACGACTGTACGTACATGTTCTCGTTGTATCTCGGTGCAATGATAATAAAGCTTATTCTGATTCTGATTATATAGCACCTTTCTATTTAGCCAAGAAATAAAGTGCTTTACACTACAATATGTGCCCTCTTTTACCCATTCATTCAGTGCTTTACTATATCTATAGGAAGATTAATCAGTGCTTTACTATATCTATAGGAAGATTAATCAGTGCTTTATCATATCCTTACACCAATGGGACACACATTGGAGGCAATGGGGGGGGGGGGTCTTGCCCTGGGACACTTTGGCATGTGATTTCTGGTGGAATCAAACACCCAACTCTTGCATCGGAGGACAACTGCCCTAGCCACTCAGCCACAGCCACCCCCTTAGTCCATCTGAACAGTTACCTGGCTACACCTGAGTCCATGGAAGCAGTAACCTGACTGTACAAGTCCATCTGAACAGTTGTCTCACAATACTTAAGTCCATTTCAGCAGTTACCTTAATGTATCTGAGGTTAAGATAAGTTTGTACCTGACATGAGTCGACTCCACCTTCGGGGTACCCAGCACACAGCATACTGGTGGTGATGGTGTACTCAGGTAACAAGTGCTGACATGTGTCCTGGTCTACCAGAGGAACTTGTGCCTCCTTGAGTACATCAGGGAGAGTACCTGGAACACAAACATGTGAGACAGATCATAGGTAAGACTACTGACTTCATGTTTGTGCTGATGTTCAATGTTTTATGTTATGAGTGCTTAGTGTATATTTAGTTGATGTTTTTCTTAGTTCATATCTTAGATGTTATTACTGTTTTTCTTAGACATTTTATTGTTGGATGTAACTGGGACCCCGTGTACATAATTTCGCTCCACCACATGTACCACATGAGGTGCGAATGACAATAAAGAAACTCTGACTCTGACTCTGACTCTGACTCATATATTTCACATCAGTAATGATCCTGACTCTGTGATGAAGATAGATTGCTTCTTTTGCTTTTTCAGGGATTTAATAGTCCATAAAGTGACATAGTGTCCTTTACTCATGAAGAACTTCCCCATGCTACATCTCAAGGAACATGACTGTGAATATCCTCCAGATCTACTGAACATATGAAGACTGGAGAGTCCAACTCCCAGTACATCTAGCTGCTCTGCAAGGATGAAGATCTGGTCCACTGTAGTGTTGTGTCTCACACAAACGATTTGTTCAAATTAATCTTTTGAGTGAACAAACTGAAGTAAATCACTTTTTACCTGATTTATTCCTTTATCAGGCAGCACGGTGGCACAACTGGTAGAGCTGCTGCCTCTCAGCGAGCACGTCCTTGGTTCAAACCCCGGTCCAGGGGTCTTTCTGGGTGGAGTTTGCATGTTCTCTCCGTGCATGCGTGGGTTTTCTCCGGGTACTCCGGTTTCCTCCCACAGTCCAAAAACATGCATGTTAGGCTGATTGGTAACTCTAAATTGTCCCTAGGTGTGAGTGAGAGAGTGAATGGTTGTTTGTCTCATTTGTCTCTATGTGGCCCTGTGATGAACTTGCGACCCGTCCAGGGTGTACCCCGCCCCTTGCACAGTGATTGCTGGACATGGGCACCAGTGACCCCCGTGACCCAAAATGGAATAAACGGGTAAAGATAATGGCTGGATGGATGGATATTCCTTTATCACTTCAGTGGAGCTCAGCACAAATGGGCCGGCCAAGAGTAAAAGTTCCTCATTCTGTGAGCCAGCCTTTGTTAAAAGTTCTCTGTTGCACTCCAAATAGACGTGACAGGTATTTTTGAATAAGTGGTCGTCTTGGTCCATTTCAAAGACTTCTGCTTAGACACTCCAGCTGTCCAGCGCTAGCAGTGTTAGCAGCATTCACCGTACACGTGGAAGGATGGCAGTAGTCTTGATCCCCTTCTTCCAAATCATTGTTTATTTGCTGGCTGCAGTCCACTTAAAAAAAATCCTCCTACTCTGATTCCATTCTAGGAAATTTGGGTAATAGAAAACTGCCATTTTTGCATTTCATGCACTTTTCAAATGTTTACTGAACTTTCAGTAACTTGAATTTTCACTTCCGGTTTGGAGGTTAATTTCCTGTTGCGAGATCAGATAAAAAAACTCAATATAATCACTGATTGTTTTTTGAAATTTTTTGTGTTTTGCGAGGAAAATATCACAACAAGCACATATTAAAGAATATTAACTTAGATGAAAAAGAAAATAATAATGGTTTGTGATAGGTTGGTGGTGGAAATGTCATGATTCATCTGTGGTGATTCATGTTAAAAAAGATGGTCATTTATGTAATAACTTCTGTACAGTCATTTTCGGTTTATCTGCATTTTATTTTGAAATTGAATTCTGAGGTTGCGATGCATTATGGAAATTATCCTGTGCTCGAGCATCAGTGTGTGGCATGGAGGCTGCACAGCTGCAGAAAGAAGGGCTTTGCAGAGAGTGGTGGGGGCAGCACAGGGGTCTGTCGGAATCGGCCTCCCCACCGTCACGGACGTCTGCACCTCCGGATGCGGGAGGAGGGCCGCCTGCGTCGTGGGGGGCCCCGCTCACCCAGCGCACACACTTTTTGCCCCGCTCCCCTCGGGAGGGAGGTTGGGGAGCATTGAGTGTGGAACCACTGGACTGAGGAACAGCTTCTACCCTGAGGCTGTTAGACTCATGAATCTCTAACTAGAATGGTCACTGTGAAAGACCATATCATGTTGCTGCTGATCTCTTTCGTGTTGCTGCTGATCAGTTTCAATGTTGGTGTGTTCGTGCATGCACATCTGCTCACAGACTCATGTTCATGTTTGTGCTGATGTTCCATGTTTTATGTTATGAGTGCTTAGTGTATATTTGGTTGATGTTTTTCTTGGTTCATAACTTAGATGTTATTACTGTTTTTCTTATACATTTTGTTGTTGGATGTAACTGGGACCCCGTGTGCATGGTTTCGCTCCACCACATGTACCACATGGGGTGCGAATGACAATAGAGAGATTCTGACTCTGACTCTGATGTTGGGAGCTCCTAAAGCAAACACAGTACTGTACAAAAGTCTTGAGTCTTGATAGTTTTATATACAGTATATTTTGTCTGCAAAAAAATAAAAAAAAGTTATATGTGTATATATATATATATATATATATATATATATATATATATATATATATATATATATATATATATATATATATATATATATATATATGTATGTGTGTGTGTGTGTATATATATACACACACATATATTTTATCCCAATAAATAGTTTTTTGAGTGACATTCATGCATGAATGATGTTAATCTTAATGAACCTGTGTTGGGATGTTTGAGAAAAAGAAAAAACTTTTCAAAAGCAAATTTTTACCTGGCTCTGCAGACACTTTGCAGAGAGTGGGGAAGGCTGCACAGAAGACTGTCGGAGTCAGCCTCCCCACCATCACAGACATCTACACCTCTAGATGTGGGAGGGGGGCTACCTGCATCGTGGGGGACCTCACTCACCCAGCACACACACTTTTTGCCCCACTCCCCTCAGGGGGGAGGTTGAGGAGCATTGGGTGTAGAACCACTGGACTGAGGAGCAGCTTCTACCCTGAGGCTGTTGGACTCATGAATCTCTGACTAGAATGATCACTGTGAAAAACCGCATCATGTTGCTGCTGATCTGTTTCAATGTTGATGTGTTCATGCGTGCACGTCCGCTCACGCAGACTCATGTTCATGTTTGTGCTGATGTTCAATGTTTTTATGTTATGAGTGCTTAGTGTATATTTAGTTGATGTTTTTCTTAGTTCATATCTTAGATGTTATTACTGTTTTTCTTTTACATTTTATTGTTGGATGTAACTGGGACCCTGTGTACATAATTTCGCTCCACCACATGTACCACATGAGGTGCGAATGACAATAAAGAATCTCTGACTCTGACTCTGACTCTGATTATGGGTAGCAGAAGCAGTTTTCAGTTGGAAAACCGTTTTACAGAGAAAACCTGCCTATCCATATATAAACTTCACTAAATGTCCTAAATCTTTATTTACACCTTCAAAAGCAATGACTTTTCACTCGACCCTTTTCAATTATCTTTTCAAGCCACAATTGTAAAGAATTGTAAGCTGTCAAGAAGACCTTAATAAAGGAGCAAGGCGCTTAGTTTCCTGGCTCATGAAAAACGAGTTTGGATTGTTGTTGATCTACGTTGACATACACAGTGTGTCCAACATGTAGTGATAACAGTACAGTGAAAAGCCACATCAGCAGTTGGTGGAAGATAAAACTTATGCCACAGAGATGGACAACGCTCATGAGGAAAAGGCAGAAGAAATGGATAATGCTGAAGCTAAAGCATCAAAAGCTAGCTCCAAATCAAAACACTCTAGCTCCAAGCACTCATCCTTAAAGTCATCCTCAAAGTCCCGCATATTGGAAGCAGCCAGCTTTGCATAAGCCTCTGCCGAAGCCACAAACACTAAAGCCTCCTACAGTAAGAGTCAATTAGAAATTAAAAAAACAACAAGCAACTCTAGAACTGGATTTAAAGATGCTAGAGATGGAGAAAGAAGTTGCAGCTGCTACAGCAAGAGCAGAGGTTCTAGAAGCTGCCGCAGCAGCTGAACAAGGCAAGGAAAAAAGTGTAAAGAGTGCAGTCCCACCACAAGTCATCAGACAGAGAACTATGGAGTACGTGCAACACCAAACCAAACTAAAGTCACATAAAGGAAAAATACCTCAGGTCAAACCGGCATCAAAAGCACCATCATTCACTCCAAGGAGATCTGGACAAACTCCTTCTCCACCAGTGCTCAAGAAAATGTATGTAAAAGATGAAGCTTTTGACACACCAAGCGACTACATCAAGCTAAACAGTCACCATGCTTTTCCAGACAAGAGGTTGGATTTTCTCTGCATCACTGAGTCTTGGTTGTCTATTGGTGAGTCCAGTGCCCTGGTGGAATTATTACCTCTGGACTGTCTGTGTTTTAATGCCCCGTGGCCATCAGGTCGGCACGGTGGTGGATTAATAGCAGTCTTTAAACCAAACTTGGCCTGTAAACAGTTGGAAACCTCAGTATCCTGCTCCAGCTTTGAGCTGAGCGTCTTTGAACTCGGACATTCTCCTCCAGTTCTGTGCGCATTCGTTTACCGCCCCCCTCAATCCAAGGACTTAACAAGTGAATTATCTGATTTTCTGGCTGATTTCACACAAAGATCCAATCACGTTTTAATCATTGGGGACTTTACTATTCACGTGTGTTGTCAGGAGAAGCGGTCAGTGAAGGACTTTCTAGATTTATTGGACTAATTTAATTTAATCTAAAAAGTTAAATATGCTCCTCGGGACATTCAAAAAAACAAAAACAAAAAAACCCCAAAGCAAAACAAAAAAAAAATGTAGAAACATTTAATCTTTCATTCGAAAGACTTACTCAGTCTAAGGAGCTGTATTCAGCTCAGTCTTATAAATAGCACCTTCTCAGAGCGGATCAACCAAAGTGGATGAACCAGAGCACTACACTGCCTCACCCTGCATTGGTTGAACAGGTAATGTGCAAAATCCACAATTTTGACCATTGAAGTGTTGAAATAATTCAGAAAACCGTTTTATAAAACAGTTTTATAGATCAGTCAAGTGGTTAAATATATTTTCTCTTATTGTTAGTATTTTACTTGTT